GCGTTCCGTGCGCCTTGGTGTTTAGTCATGCCGGCCACATGACCACGGAAACATCTTCGGACAACGCTGGCTCTTCGGCTTTGAAACGGAGATGAGCACCGCAACCCTAGAGTCGGACTCGACTGGCTTTTGAGCAAGGGAAACCTTTACCTTTACCTATAACTTGTATGCAAATGAAAAAAGACACACACACCCCAAGGGCATACCTGTGAAAAAAGTCTAGTCTTGCATATGCGTAAATACTGAAACTGGTTTCATTGTTGTAATGTATCCAGTCCAGACAAGTCCAGAGACAAACGCAGAGCTTCGCTCCAAGAAACAATGGACTATGCGGATCCTAGCCCGCTCCAATCAGGGGGCTAGGTTCCCGGCCAAGAGCCTATGGGACTCTCGGCCACTGTAAATAACCTTCAGGGAAGTAGGGGGGTGTTTGGGGTGGCGGTTTCTCGGGGGATATAAGCCAGCCTGCGAGCTCGCCAAAGTCATCTTGTTCCGGATAGAATAAAGTATGCTTTGCTGAAATCACTCTCCGTCTGCGTACTTTTCAATTGTCAAACTGTTAACAAGGTTGCACTTACCTGTAACCAGTGTTCCCTCTAAGCTGAGTGAGTGTGAGCTAGCTCACAGTTTTTTAGCCTCCGGCTCACACATTTTTGTCTTAGCTCAGGAAGGATGGCTCCGGAGCAAACTGATTTATGCAGCAGCCAAGTTGCTCGCTCACAGTTTTAATGCCAGCAGCTCACAAAGTAGAATTTTTGCTCACAAGACTCCACAGCTTAGAGGGAACATTGCCTGTAAGTGTTGTTCATCGAGTGGTCTTCTGTGCAGGCACACATGGGACTGTGCAGGCCAGCCACGGAAAAGATTTCCAAGCTTTCTAATAGACTAGGAGCACCCCTCCTCCCTCTGGCGCTTTCCCGCCAAAACGCTCACATGACCAGGAGGGGGGGCGCTAGTTCCTCCCTCAGTTCTCTCCATGCTGCCGCCGGAGACCCCTAGAAAACTAAAGTTCCAGAGAATTCACAGTGGGGCAGGAGGGAGGGATGTGTGCCTGTTTCTTCTAACAGCACAATTGTTTTCCAGGCTCTGGCTTGAATATCTGTCCTCATTTTGGTACACGGGAAGAGCCCCCCCCCAGCTCTTGCCTGCTCCCCCCAAAAAAAAATATTTCCCTGCCGCTTCCTCCAGTATCCACCTGGTCCCAGCATCTCATGGACTCCTGATGTTTTGTTCCAGAGATGAGGCTAACCCTTTTGCCACGTTCTGTACATCTCTTTCCAAGTATGCGGCATGTTCCTCTGTGGGACTGACTCCCTCCTGACTCTCAGACCGATTTGCTTTGCATCCAACTCACCGCTGGCACTCAGATAACAAATTTTCACCATCTCGACCATTCTCCAGGGCTCTGGTCTAGGGGACAAGTGCGGTGACTGGGCATTCCACAGACGGCTGCTTTCAGCTGACCTCTCACATTCAGAGTTAGCACAATGGCACAAAATATTTCTTTTCACAATGAAATTTCAGTGCTAAAAGAAGTGGTTCCAGCAATGTTTTTCTCTCACGAGCTGTTCTCTCAAGGGCAGTCCTCAAGGGAGCTCTCTCAGCCCCATCTACCCCACAGGCAATGTTCCCTCTAAGCTGTGGGGTCTTGTGAGCAAAAATTCTACTTTGTGAGTGACTGGCATTAAAGTTGTGAGTGAGCGATTTGGCTACTGCATAAATCAGTTTGCTTTGGAGCCATTCTTTCTGAGCTGAGACAAATATATGTGAGCTGGAGGCTAAAAAACTGTGAGCTAGCTCACACTAACTCAGCTTAGAGGGAACATTGCCCACAGGGTGTCTGTTATGGGGAGGGGAATGGAAAGGAGATTGTAAGCTGCTCTGAGACTCCTTTGGATAGTGAAAGCCGGGGTATAAATCCAGTCTCTTCCTCCTCCTCCTCACAGAAAGACAATCCTAATTACTTAGGCCTGGCGTTACTGTCACTTGGATAACACATCAGCACCTGTCTTCTCCCCCCATCTAGCTGTTAAAATCAACACCCTGAAAGAGTTAATTTGCTTGCTACAAACACAGAGATCCGCCAGTTGAGATGTGCTCCGTCCATTATGAAAAACTGTAACACATTTTTTTTAAACCTTTTAAAACGTCTTCATCATTTCACATGTTAATTTGCTGTTCAGCCAATCTAGAAGCTTGAACCTCACCTTCCTTCCAAGGTATTTGAAACAGTGTGCCTTGCAATCAAAAGCTCATACCTTGAATAATACTTTGTTGGTCTTAAAGGTGCCACTGGTTTTCTCTTCATATTTTTCTGAGTGAAGGGTGCTGATGCCGCATTGCATAGGGCATGTTTAAGGCTATTGAAAATTTTGGGGTTTAAGTGCATTTAACCCTTTCCTGTTGTCTGGAGCTTTCACAGGTTAATTTGCTGTTCAGCCAATCTATAAGCTTGAACCTCACCTTCCTTCCAACCTATTTGAAACAGTGTGCTTGCAATCAAAAGCTCATACCTTGAATAAAACTTTATTGGTCTTAAAGGTGCCACGGGACTCTAAATGTTATCTTCATTTTTTCTGAGTGAAGGGTGCTGATGCAACATTGCATGTGGCATGTTTAAGGCTATTCAGGGCTCTTTTGGTAGAAAAAGCCCAACAGGAACTCATTAGCATAACAGCCCACACCCAACAGCAGAAATGTATTAGCATGTTAGGCCACACCCCTGACAGTGCAGCTCATTAGCCTATTAGGCCACACCCCCACGTTACCAGAAGTGTGGCCATCCAGCCACACCCACCTTTTGCTTCTTATTCTGTTTACCTTGTTGTCAAAACCCAGGGCCTTTTTTGGTAGCAGGAACTCCTTTGCATGTTAGGCCACACACCCCTAATGTAGCTGTTGGGTGTGGCTTATTATGCTAATGAGTTCCTGCTAGGCGTGGCCAACTCGGGAGCCAGCCGGAACTCCGTTCCTGTGCGTTCCTGCCCCAAGATAGCCCTGAGGCTATTGAACATTTTGGGGGTTTAAGAGCATTTAACCCTTTCCTGTTGTCTGGAGCTATGTCTTTATTGGCCCTAGCATTTTCCTTTTTTGTTGTTGTTGTCAAGTAACAGCCAACTTATAGTGAACATAAGAACATAAGAGATGCCAATGTTGGATCAGGCCAAAGGCCCATCCAGTCCAACACTCTGTATCACACAGTGGCCAGAAATACCAGTGCCATCAGGAGGTCCACTAGTGGGGCCATAAAGAGATGTTCAGAGGTGGTTTTGCTGTTGCCTGCCTCTGTGTAGGCAGGTTTTGCTGTTGCCTGCCTCTGGACTTCCTTGGTGGTCTCCCATCTGATGAAATCAGGCTAGCCTGGGATATCTCCGTCAGTGACACCCTAATGCTACAGTACAGAAAACCCCACCTTTGTATATTGGCTGTTCCTTCAAACAGCACATCTTTCAGAGCGAAGGATGCTTCTTCCGCTCTTCCTAGCCAGAGGCTGGCCACCACGGCTTGCTCCACACTGGACCGAGGCCAATCGCTGGTTTTGTCCTTCCAGATCTGAAGAGCACAACTCCCTTGACGATCATGAAAGGGGATATCAGGGACATGTCGTTCCTTCGGAAAGCCGTCCAAGGGATCTCGCTCGTCATACACTCTGCTTGCGTCATTGACATCTTGGGCCTGGTAGACAAGCCTGTGTTGTGGGACATCAACGTTACAGGTGAGCTCAATGGCGTGTTGGAGACGCTCCTCAAGGGATTTAGGCAGAGGGGGTTTTAATTGCCCCTCGGCAGGGGTCATTTTGTAGAAAAAGAGGTGCAGGAGCTCATTAGCATAGCTCATTAGCATAGCTTATTTGCATATGCGTCAGAAGGCAACACCCACCACTCAGGCTCCACTGGACTGTTTTGGATTGCTAGGTATTGGGGGGGGGATGTGCAGATCTGTCCTCACAGAGGAGGGAGAGCTTATACCCGAATAAAACTTGGTCTTAAAGGTGCCACTGGACTGTTTTGGGCTGGGGGGAGCTCTGCAACTTACCTGGCTGCTTCTTGCTCTGACTGAGGGCTGCTCGTGCTGGTATCAGGGGGTGGGGCTTGTTGCATGTGCCCGCCCCCTGGGCTCTTTACTGCCGGAGCTCCGCTCCTGTGCCTACCTGCAGGAAATGACCCCTGCCCCTCAGTGCCCTGACTTGGATGGCCCAGGCTACCTCAATCTTACCAGCTGTCAGAAGCTAAGCAGGGCAGGTTAGCAATGCTCCCTCTAAGCTGTGTGGTCTTGTGAGCAAGAATTCTACTTTGCAAGCTACTGGCATGAAAGTTGTGAGTGAATAATTTGACTACTGCATAAATTAGTTTGCTCTGGAGCCATCCTCCCCAAACTAAGACAAAAATCTGTGAGACAGAGGCTAAAAAACTGTGAGCAAGATCACACTAACTCCACCTTAGAGGGAACGCTGCTGGTTAGTATTTGGATGGGAGACCACCAAGGAAGTCCAAGGCTGCTACACAGAGGCAGGCAAGGATAAATCACCTCTGAGCCAGTTTGGCACGGACTCTGGTCTGGGAGAAGTGGGTTTGATTCCCCACGCCTCCACATGCAGCTGCTGGTGTGACCTTGGGTCAGTCACAGGTTTTTTCAGAGCTGTTCTCTCAAGGGCAGTGCTCAGGAGAGCTCTCTCAGCCCCACCTATCTCACAGGGTGTCTGTTGTGGCAGGGCTCTTTTTGTAGAAAAAGCCCAGCAGGAACTCATTAGCATAATAGGCCACACCCAACAGCAGGAACTCATTAGCATGTTAGGCCATGCCCTTGCTAGCACAGCTCATTAGCACATTAGGCCGCACCCCCATGTTACCAGAAGTGTGGTCATCCAGCCACACCCACCTTTTGCTTGTTACTCTGTTTACCTTGCTTGTTGTCCAAACCCAGGGCTTTTTTTGGAGCAGGAACTCCTTTGCATGTTAGGCCACACACCCCTAATGTAGCCAATCCTAATGAGTTCCTGCTGTTGGGTGTGGCCTATTATGCTAATGAGTTCCTGCTGGGCGTGGCCAACTTGGGAGCCAGCCGGAACTCCATTCCTGTGCGTTCCTGCCCCAAAATAGCCCTGGTTGTGGGGACAGAAAGGGAAAGGGATTGTAAGCCGCTCTGAGAGTCCTTCAGGTAGTGAAGGGCGAGGTATAAATCCAATCTCCTCCTCCTCTTCTTCTCTGTTCCTCTGTTGCCTTGAAAACCCTACAGGGTCAGCATACGTTGCCCGCGACTTGACAGCCCTTTCCACCACCAGAAGCTAAGAAAGATATCCACATAACCCATTCTCATCCATGTAATATTTGGGGAGCTGAGGGAAGTGGGGTTAGTCATGTCTAGACCTAGAGGTGGGACAGGGCCAGTTCTTCAGCCAGAATACCCAAAAATACTGCTTTGGGTGGCACACTGAAGAAGGTGATGTTTACTACAGGGACAATATGGAAGGCAGCTGGCGACCCCTCTTGAAGTCATTACCCCATCATTACCCTCTCCCTCCACCATCACTGCCCAATCCCACGGCTGGATTGATACATGCATCATCAGTATGAGATGGGAATGAACTGGGTGGCAGGATGGACTCTCCCACTTCAGGGTGTGGCGTTCCATGTGAATGGCTAATGGGGCACTTAAATGGGGGCCAGGCACACGTGAAAGGCTTCTACCATTTATTTAGTTCCTTCATAATCTGACCTTCATGCAGAGAAATGGCGAAAGGGGGTGTGCGGCGAGATATGAGCAGCGGCGGGGGGGGGGGGGGACAAAAGCAAAAAATGGCCCGAGAGGGAAGAAATAAAATTCTGGTGCAAGCTGTTTCAGATTGTAGCAGAGGGACTGCATGTTTTAATATGTCCCTGCCTTAAAAGAAACCCTTTCTGCATACTGGAAGTTAATATATCAGACAAGTTGTGGGCACTCAATGAAATTAAGGAATAGTAGGTTTAGAACACATAAAAGGAAGTACTTCTTCACCCAAAGAGTAATTAACAGGTGGAATTCACTCCTGCAGGAAGTGGTGGCGACTACAAGCACAGACAAACTTTGAGAGGGGACGGAATAAACATATGGCGCCGAGGTCCATTAGTGGCTTTTAGCCACAAGGTATAGATGGAACACTATGTCTGGGGCAGGAGTTCTGGCCCAACTGGTGGACCTCCTGAGGGTAACAGGGTTTTGGCCACTGTGTGGCACAGAGTGGTGGACTGGATGGGCCAGTGGCCTGATCCAACATGGCTTCTCTTATGTTCTTATGTTCTTAAAAAATGGTTGAGTGTTATCCTCTCCCTGGTGTGATGTGGAGGGAATGTTCTATACGGAAGAGTGCTCTCTAGCGCCTGCTTCTTGTAGGCTTCTTGAAGCCTCATCTCAACCTTGTGGCTCTCCATAGCCACCCCTTCCAGCAGTCACCCCTCAGCTATGTAGTGGGTTGACAGCTTTTTTGGGGGGGAGACTGGGGAGGGGAGGGTTTGGGAAGGGGAGAGACTTCAGCAGGGTGTAATGCCACCCCTCTGAAGCTGCCATTTTCTCAGGGGGAACTGGAGATCAGTTTTAATTCTGGGAGATCTCCAGGCCACACCTGGAGGTTGGCAGCTCTCGTGCCCCATTAGCCCTCTCTCTGAGAACATTTTCCAGTTCATCTTCTCTTCTGCGAGCACTATCAGCTGGGCAGCAGAGTAAGGGAAGAACAGATTTCAACACACAGGCTACAATCCACCAGGAAGTTCTTTTGCACCCAAATGAATGGGCGTTTGCCCAGAAACACAAACAGTGCTGCTCTTCCACAATCGTCATTCCTTGCAACGACTTTTGGCCAGGCTTGGAGCTGTTTTCACCCTCCCCTGACCCATCCTGTTTCTCTTTCCCCTTCTGGAAAGGTACGCGACTGCTGCTGGAAATGTGCCTTCTCCAGGACGTCAAATACTTCATCTACACCAGCAGCCTCGAAGTGACGGGTCCGAACCGCAAAGGGGACCCCATGTGCAACGGCGACGAAGACTCCGTCTACCGAGTCACTGATGGATTTCCTTACGCCGAGACGAAGAGAGAGGCGGAAAAATCTGTGCTGGAGCTAGACGGGCTGCCGCTGAAGGATGGCAGCAGTTTCGTGACCTGCGCGTTGAGGTCCATGTACATCTTTGGAGAAGGGAGCCCTTTCCTCCTGAAGCACGTCGACGAAGCCATCTTAAACAACAGAGTCTTCCTGAGGATCTCCAGGAAGGAGGCTCTCGTCAACCCGGTCTACGTGGGGAATGTCGCTTGGGCTCACGTCCAAGTGGCGAAAGCCATGAGGAACCCAGCGAAGGCCAAGCAGGTCCGAGGACGGTTCTATTACATCTCCGACGACTCTCCCCATTTGAGCTACGCGGACTTCAACCACGAGCTGGCGAAGGAGCTGGGGTTCGGCGTGGAGCCCAGGCTGAGAATGCCCCTGACGATGCTCTACTGTTACGCTCTGCTGCTGGAGATCATGAGCTTCCTGCTCCGGCCTTTCGTCAGGTACATCCCGGTCATCAATCGTCACCTGCTGACTGTGCTGAACACCCCGTTCACCTTTTCGTTCCAGAAGGCACAACGGGATTTTGGCTACGCGCCCCGCTACAGCTGGGAAGAAGCCAAGCAGCGCACCAGCCGGTGGATTGCTGAGGTGACCCCATTAAGGACCACCTACCTGAGAAGCAAGGAAGTCTAAAGCAGAGCTCGGCAGTGGTAGCATGAACAGGCCAGAGCGAGCCGGTCAGTGGACAGTAAGGAGGGAAAGGAGCGGACTGGGCATAGTTAGAGGCCAACGGGCTGAAATACCTGAATAAATGATAAAAAGAAACTCCCATGTTGCTTTGCTGTGCGTAGGATGGGCAGGCTACTCTGTTAATAAGTAACTCACAGACCTTCTTGCTTGATTCATTCAACCAGGGGTCATTTCCTGCAGGAGCACACAGGAGCGGAGCTCCGGCAATAAAGAGCCCAGGGGGCGGGCACATGCAACAAGCCCCACCCCCTGCTCCCAGCAGCCCTCCATCAGAGCAAGAAGCAGCCAGGTAAGTTGCAGGGGCCCCCCCCCCCGGCCCCTCAGTCCAAAACAGTCCAGTGGCACCTTTAAGACCAAGTTTTATTCAGGTACAAGCTCTCCCTCCTCTGCGAGGACAGATCTGCATGTCACCCCCCCCCCCCCGAATAGCTAGCAATCCAAAACAGTCCAGTGGAGCCTGAGCGGGGGGGGTTGCCTTCTGACACACTTCCGGTGATGTCAGGGGGTGTGGCATATGCAAATAAGTTATGCTAATGAGTTATGCTAATGAGCTCCTGCACCTCTTTTTCTACGAAATGACCCCTGCATTCAACCCTTCATCTTACTGCGTAAAACCCAATTCCTGGGGAATCCAAAAAAGGACTTGGAGGTTCTCTGCAATATTTACTTTTAAGCAGCGATAAATAAAGGAGCCGACCGCAGCTGCCATTCTGAATCGTCCAAGGTCCTCCTGGGTGCTCAGACAGGGGCTCCATTCTTCTTAGCGGTTCCCATTCATCAGGCTCATTGTGCAACACTGTTTCCCCAGACAACCAGCAATCTCCCAACATACAGCCCGGTGCTGCTAATCTGCTTTTTATTATAATGGAAAAGTTTGCCCCCCAAACAATGCTCCCTCTAAGCTGTGGATTCCTGTGAGCAAAAATTCTACTTTGTGAGCTACTGGCATTAAAGTTGTGAGCGAGCGATTTGGCTACTGCATAAATTAAGTTTGCTCTGGAGCCCTCCTTCCTGAGCTAAGACAAAAATGTGTGGGCCGGAGGCTGAAAAACTGTGAGCTAGCTTACACTAACTCAGCTTAGAGAGCACATTGCCCCCAAATCCCCCTAACATTCCTCAAAAAATTTAGGAAGGGTCTTCCCTGCCTCAGCACGGCTAATGCATGATTGTACATACCAAGGCACCCGCCCCAGCGAGGCATGTTTGTACGTGTAAAGACACATGGAAACCAAAGAGCCAGGAGCCCACATCCAGTGGATCCCCCACCCCCAACTGGGGACTGGCAACTCTGGTGTAACACCTCAGAGGACACGGACAGGGGTGGTGCCTAAAGGCCCCTATACCAAAAGAGGCTGCCTCTCGGCACATACCAGGCAGGGGGTGGGGCCTCGCCTTCTTCCCAGCAGCTGGATTTCTTATTCCAACAGGCAACCCACACGGGCACACTGAAGTAATACAGCCCCGGGAAACCTTTAAGCCGGGCTTGATTCTGCTGACTGTACACAATAAGCCTGGCCTGGTGCCGACTAACCAAGTCTCCACGCCTCTTCAGTCCAGACTGGCGTATCTTAACCTGCGAGTCATGATGCAAATGTGGGTCATGACTCTCACGCAGGTGGGGGAGAGACTCAAACCCCTCAGGTGCAAAAGGAGGCTTGGGCTGAGCCGCTGCATTCTCTCACATCCCCCGGGACATTCTTCAGCCTCAGGGTTGCTCCCAAATAGGGGTGTGCAAAAAAAAAATTGGCCCGATTCGGATTCGGCCACATCAGGCAGAATCGATTTCCGCCAGCAGAAAGACTCCCACATGTCAATTTCGGCAGTAGGAGCCCATTCGGGAGTCTTTCCGCCAGCCGAATGTCAATTTCGACTCCATTATATTCTATGGGCCACTGAAGTCAATGGCGAAAACACAGGCAATATTCTGAGGGCTGGAGGGGAGGGGGTTTGAGGAAAAGGCTCCAAACTAGCAGGGTCGCTGCTGGAGCCTCTCCCAGCAAAAAGTTACTTTTTTCTCACCATAGAGAATGGAGGGGATGGGGGCAATCTGTTTGGGGGCCCATAGAATTGGACCCCCTGGTCCAATGTTCTTGAAACCTGGTGGGTATCTTGGGAAGAGTTTCCAGCAGCTACCCTGTGAGTTTGGAGCCTCTCCCTTAAACCGCCTCCCCTCCAGCCCCCAGAATATACCCTATGTTTTCGCCATTGACTTCAATGGCCCATAGGATATAATGGGGCCGAATTGCTGCTGAAGGCAAGCCGATTCAGATCAGAGAATCTGAATTGGCCCGCAGCAGCACGAAACGGGCCCGAATGGGACATTTTCGGGGGTGCATTCGGTTCAGATGAACCGAATGCACATCCCTACTCCCAAACACACCTGGGGCCGGAGGCAATGGCCAAGTGGACTTGTGCTGCCGAAAAGCCAGCCCCAGTCCATGGCACTGCCATGGGGCAGGGGCTCAGCCAACTCCTGGCTGGCAGCGAACAAAGAGACAACTGGCCCCTTGACTCTGAGCCCCTCAGCAAGAGCTTCAGGGTTTGGGGCCAAGTCCAAGACTGTGCCATCGCAGCGGCAGGTCCCAACAGATGGGGTAAATGGCTCCCCTTCGAAAAGAGAACCGCCGCTCTGACCTGTATTGAAAGCGAGCAGGGCAGACTGGCTTTCAGGGAGAAGGGGCTATATGGCCCCACCAGTCTTGTCGCTGTGGAACGTGGTAGGTGAGTTCCTCCCTAGGCGTCCACAGCCTTTTTCTTCTCTCCAAGATACAAGGGGAAGGGGAGGCTGTTCATGGGAGGTCATCTTCACCTATGACAAAAACGGGAGGAAGATGAGGAGCCTTAGGGAAAGGAACGACAGGAAAGTTTAACAGGCAGGGGTCATTTCGTAGAAAAAGAGATGCAGGAGCTCATTAGCATAACTCGTTTGCATATGCCACACCCCCTGATATCACCAGAAGTGTGTCAGAAGGCAACACTCACCGCTCAGGCTCCACTGGACTGTTTTGGATTGCTAGCTGTCAGGGGGGGGATGGGGACGTGCAGACCTGCCCTCATAGAGGAGGGAGAGCTTGTACCTGAATAAAACTTGGTCTTAAAGGTGCCACTGGACTGTTTTGGACCGGGGAGCTGGGGAGGGGGGCTCTGCAACTTACCTGGCTGCTTCTTGCTCTGACTGAGGGCTGTTGAGAGCAGGGGGTGGGGCTTGTTGCATGTGCCCACCCCCTGGGCTCTTTACTGCCGGAACTCCGCTCCTGTGCGCTCCTGCAGGAAATGACCCCTGTAACAGGTATGGACCCCCTGGATCTGTGAACAACAGAGGCCTTTGCATTAACCAATGAGCTGGAGGGATGGGCGTGGCCTGGTAGGCCTAAGTAGGCAGATGTGTTTTTGCTTCCTCTAAGAGACGTGCCTTCTTTCTTCTTGGACAGAAGTCCTTCTCGTGCTGTGTCTACAGCCTGGTGAGGGCGGAAGGAGAAGAGAGGGCTTTGGTTTGTTGTTCTGTGGATCCGGCAGCTTTCCTAAGCTGCTGGCGTGATGCTGCTGGCTCAGAATGGGTTTGTTATGGTCAGAGCAGCCAGTGCATTAAGTACACATTTACAAAGCGTGCAAAGGCCACATTCTGAGATAGTATGTTGTCTTGTTTTTACTTGTCAGTTCAGTTGACCTTTATTAGCATAAAATACCTTAAAAAGGATTACTGTACACTCACATACACACAGACACACACACAAACATATACATTTAAAATCAAGTGTAACCATACATAGAAAACATAATGGTATGTTTATTTACTCATAGTAAATTTTCCTGACGTAGCTTTATCGCTGATTGTAAAAACATGGCTACGTTCTTTAAAAGTGTCAGGAAGGTTCATCATGTTGGCTAAGATAAGAGTTTAGATATCTAACATGTAAGGTAAAGGTAAAGGTTTCCCTTGCTTGAAAGCCAGTCGAGTCCGACTCTAGGGTTGCGGTGCTCATCTCCGTTTCAAAGCCAAAGACGTTTCCGTGGTCATGTGGCTGGCATGACTAAACACCAAGGCGCACGGAACGCTGTTACCTTCCCACCGAAGTGGTACCTATTTATCTACTTGCAATTTCTTGCTTTTGAACTGCTAGGTTGGCAGGAGCTGGAACTAGAGACGGGAGCTCACTCCGTCATGCGGCACACTCAGGTCTCGAACTGCTGAACTACCGACCTTCCACAGTCTGCAGTTCAGCGTCTTAACCACTTGAGCCACCGCAGCTCCTATCCAACATGTAAATCCACATAAAATTGACAATGGAAACAAATATGCGAAACCAGTTTCGATACATCCAGAATTGCCATGGCAAAGTCTATCCTCATATACTATATTGTTATATCTCCCATGCAAGATGGCTGATGGTATTACATTGACTCTTACGAGAGAAGAGACTCCGCACTGTTGCGGTACTTGTAGTTTTCACCTGTCATTCATTTTGTGGATTTGTAGTGTAGAATACCTCTAACCGACAAGCCCGAACGGCGGCGGCCGCAACCAACAACAAGGTCGTTATTGTCTGTTGAGTCCATTTGAAATACTCCTGAATAAGCCACACAGAATGACCAGTTGCAAGGATTTTAAATTGGAAAATAGGCAATCTTTTTCTTAAAAAATGAGGTTTTTATTTAAAGGGTAAGGACAGTGAACATCATAATAGCAAATTCAAAAACTGCTACAATATGCCCAGCGGGTTGGGTTGAGCTAAAATAGCTATATATAGTCAATACAACATACAGTCAATACATTAGTGGGATATACTGTGCAAAAGAATGAGAATTCTTTTTTCCAGAGATTGGGGGGGGGAGAGAAATGCTTCCAAAACAGCATTTGAAATCAACAATATAACACAGTTCATTTTCTGCTGGCTGAATAAGGACACAAGATATATTTTCCCAAATATCTCTCACCCTGCTGTGCTTCAAACAACTCACATGCTTTAGCACCACATTCTTACAGCATCCAGATTCCTGGGTTTGGGTGGCGTCTGTCCCACCATCCCCAAGCCAAGTTTCATCAGTTCACAAGCTACATTCCTGCAGCAGTCACAAACGGCATACGAGTGTGTACATGTGTACATGCATCTAGAAAGACCCGTGCACACACTTCTGAAAACTCTCGACTGCATCCCCAGACATACATTCGTGAGTCTATGGGCTTTTCTGCATTCCCATATTCCTCACTTGTAAGTTCCTGTTTCTTGGAGGTGGGGTGTGTGTGTTTCTGTTCTGCACTCGTTTTGCTCCTTCTAGTGGTCAACTCGATACTACACCGGTTTACACCCAGTATAAAAACCCAGTTTAAATCCCCAGGGAGATAACGCTGGAAATAAACCAGCGTTTATCAACCATGCTTCACAGATCTGCTGGGGGTGGTATGGGGGGAAGACCTGGCATACATACCAGAACCTGTCTGGTTTTAAAACACAGAAGCCGCCGCCAGTGCTGGCTGCTATCAATACTTGCAAGTCTTCCTTAGGTTCCTTCTTGTCATTCGTTAACTCCTAATGGGCAGAGAAATAGTCCTGCCCCACTTCCTTACCCGATGTGAAGCCTGTGGTGCTGCACAAGGTGGGTCTTGTACCGGAAGCCCTTCCCACACTCAGCGCACTTATAGGGCTTTTCTCCCGTGTGGGTCTTCCGGTGCCTGGTGAGATGTGAACTCTGTACGAAGCCCTTCCCGCACTCGACACACACGTAAGGCTTCTCGCCAGTGTGAGTCCTCTGGTGCTGGGTGAGTGTCGAGAAATCGCCGAAGCTCTTCCCGCACGCGCCGCACTCAAAGGGCCTCTCTCCCGTGTGGATTCGCTGGTGCCTGACGAGGTGCGAGTTCCGACTGAAGCATTTCCCGCACTCGGGGCAGAGGAACGGCTTCTCTCCCGTGTGGATCCTCTTGTGCGTGAACAGGTGAGAGCTCACAGTGAAGTTCTCCCCGCATTCGCTGCAAATGTAGGGCTTCTCTCCCGTGTGGATTCTCTGATGTTTGATGAGGTCTGAGCGCCAGCTAAAGCTCTTGCTACATTCTGTGCATTTATGTGGCTTCTCTCCCAGCGGAGAGATCTCCGGTGGGATATTAAGGCTCGAGTTCTGTTGGATGCTCTCCCCGTGTTCACGGCAACCAAACGATCCCGCTGGCAGGGGAATCCCAGGTGGTGGAGTAATCTCTTGGAGGATCCCCGCGCCTCCATCTGGATCGAGAGATCCATTCCGCCGCTGACCTGCACGAGAGTCTCCGGCCTGTTGATTCACAGAGGCTTCTCCCTCGATGGGAGCGTTTTCTTCCGCCTGCCCCAGTAACATCTCATCCTGCTCCACCATCTCGGGAACTTCCCCTGGAGGAATCACCTCCTCGTACTCGCTTGGGATCTCGTAACTTCCTAGAAGAGAGGGGGGGGAAACAGCCATGTGTCCCCTGGTAGCGGCCTGCAAGGAGCACTCAATTGTTTCTTTGTTATCTGAATCGCTATGAATTTAGGCAGATGGTGAGAAGGAGGGCCGGGAGGGATGAGCCCGTGGTCGGCTCTTGTGGCCCTCTCTTTTCTGTCCAGGGCAACGCCAGTTGCCACTTTGGGGTCAGGAAGGAATTTCCCCCAAGGCCAGATTGGCTCAGGGATCCACTGGCAGCTCTCTTATATAAAGAAGCCGGGAGTGACATGATCGAGGTTTATAAGATTATGCATGGGAAAGAGCAGGTAGAGAAAGAGGTACTTTTCTCCCTTTCTCACAATACACGAACTCGTGGGCACTCCATGAAATTGCTGAGCGGTCGGGTTAGAACGGATAAGAGGAAGTACTTCTTCACCCAAAGAGTGATTAACACTTGGAATTCACTGCCACAGGAGGTGGTGGCGGCTACAAGCATGGACGGCTTCAAAAGGGAATTAGATAAGCATATGGAACAGAGGTCCATCAGTGGCTATTAGCCACAAGGTATAGATAGGGACTCTGGGGCAAGTGATGCTCTGTCATTTGGTGCTTGGGGGGGTCAACAGTGGGAGGGCTTCTAATGTCCTGGCCCCACTGGTGGACCTCCTGATGGCACCTGGTATTTCTGGCCACTGTGTGATACAGAGTGTTGGACTGGATGGGCCTTTGGCCTGATCCAACATTGGCATCTCTTATGTTCTTATGTTCTTATGAGTGGGAAGAGAAACGTTCATGGAGGGGGGGGACAGTCAAACACTTGGCATTAGTGGTGGAAACGACCAGGGATCTGCGACAACCAATGGATTTAAGCCCATTCAGAGAACTTGGGCGGAAAGAACTCTCTTTTCACAGTTGTCGAATCTCTCTCTCACCTACGAAGTCAGGGGGGACTTCTCTCTCCATGGAGACTTGGAGCATGGAGACACATAATTCCTCTTCTGGTTCCATCCAGAGACGCCAGGCTGAGAAGGTCTGTTCAGGGCAAAAAACAGACAGACAAAAAAAGTCAAAACCAAAGGGTCAGCACTGCAGGGGTGTGTTAGATCTCGTTCAAGAACGATAACCAACGTAGCCCTGACCTGGATAGCCCAGGCAAGCCTGATCTTGCCAGATCTCGGAAGCTAAGCAGGGTCGACTCTGGCAAGTACTTGGATGGGAGACCTCCTTGGAATACCAGCAGTCGGGAGGCGGGGGCAGGCTTTACTCAGACACCTCTCTTGAATACCCTCCAGGCCCCCAGTAGGGGTCACTCACCAGGGGTCGCCGTGACTTCCAGGTGCACACACACTCGCACACATGAAAAATACCAACCCCCCCAAAAAAAGAGCAATAACCAAGACAACAAACCACACAGAGACACAAGCGATCAATCCACTGTGCCAGCCGCCATGCCAACAGAAACTATATTCAAATATAAGATTCTCCCTTCTCCAGTTTCCGCTTCCATTTCATCCTGCCCCATTATCGTGGTCATCTGCTAAAGCTCTGATTCCACCGTTATCTGAAACGAGGTGAGTGGCGGTGCGAAACAGGGCCTTTTCAGTGGTGGCCGCCTCGATAACGAAACAACCTCCCCTGCCCCTGAGCCGGCTGGTGCTCAGCTTTCGAAACAGCATGCCGTTCTTTTAGCCTTTTAAAGGGCTTTGACTGCTGAGTTGCACGGTAGTGTTACGGGGCAGCTCAGTGGGGAAAGGGGAAGCGGGGGGGGGTCAGAGCCCTGGGGAGCCCCAGTCTAATAACCATTGCACCTTTGGTTTTGCAGGAGAAAACAAGGGGGACTGGAGGTTGGCAACTGTAGCAAGAGCACAGGAACAGCGGAGGGGGGGGCTGCCAGCCCCCCCCCCCTCGGTTTGGAAGCAGCTTTCACCTGGCAGAAATTCGGTTTTGCCTGGCTTGAACGTGGGACGGGAAAACTCTGCCTTGACCTCATGCTTGGGGGTGGGTGGGGTGGAGAGAATATGAAACAAAGGTGTTGACACAAAGACCTCCTGTATGCTGAACCTTGGATTTTCCTATTTACAATCCCCCGTTTTCTCAGTCATCCCATCTTCACAGGAAGCAAACAATATGGAGGGAAAAAACTGAAATTTTACCTGGTTGGCTTCATGCAAGAATCTCAAGATCCCATACGGGTGGCTTCCAAATCACCTTCCCTTTGCAATGACGTCTTTTTTTTAAAAAAGCAAAATAGTAAGAGGAAACAATATTCAATAGGTAGACAGGCCACAGGTGCTATCATTTATCACTAAGTCCTTGGGAATCTGTTCCAAGGATCTTCTTAGAAGCATCAGTCGCTTCTCTCTCTCAAGTAGCTCAAATCGGTAGGGAACAGTATGTGGAGAAACAAGCCAAAAGGACACCCGTCACAACTGGTTCTATTACAACTAGATGCAGACTGTATCACATCAAACCTTGGTTAAAGAACGGAAGGTTGGCATGATCCTGAACTGGCAAACGATGGTTTTGTGACCATCCAGCAAGCTAGAGTTGTAGCGCGTGGTTTGATGCGAGTCTCCAAACCACAATTTGGCATGAGGTCTGACTTGGCAAGCCACAGTCAGTCAAGGTGTCGTAAACCATTGTCTGCCTGAGGCTCAAAAGCACAGCTTGGGTTTTTAAGCACAGTCCATGCAAACCGCCGCTAGGCGAGATGTGTGAACTGAGCCCCTCTCTCATACGTTAACATGGCATTAGTAACCTGCCTGTCAGGTTATCAATATTTCAATGTTCCCTTTAAACAAAAACTCCAAAACACTCTGAATGTCCATTTTCCTTCCCCTAAACAAAATATATTATCTGCCCTTTAGGCTTACTGCGAAAACTTCGAAGGCATTAGTGCACTACGTTTCACACTGTCGTGGGCAAAGTTCCCTCTAAGCTGTGGAGTCTTGTGAGCAAAAATTCTACTTTGTGAGCTACTGGCATTAAAGTTGTGAGCGAGCAATTTGGCTACTGCATTAAATTAGTTTGGTCTGGAGCTATCCTTCCTGAGAGAAGATCGAAATGTCTGAGCCGGAGGCTAAAAAACTGTGAGCTAGCTCACACTAACTCAGCTTAGAGGGAACACTGGTCATAAGAACATAAGAACATAAGAGACGCCAATGTTGGATCAGGCCAAAGGCCCATCCAGTCCAACACTCTGTGTCACACAGTGGCCAGAAATACCAGTGCTATCAGGAGGTCCAGCAGTGGGGCCAGGTGTTAAAAACTGGGAAGGGAGAGGAAGAGGGGGCAACAGCGGGAGGGCTTCTGGAGTTCTGTCCCCGCTGGTGGACCTCCCGATGGCACCTGGGTTTGGGCCACTATGTGACAGAGTGTTGGACTGGATGGGCCATTGGCCTGATCCAACATTGGCTTCTCTGATGTCCTTAAAATGTCTTTTCCAACACGTTTTAAAAAAAGAGAAAAGAAAAGAACATGGAAACAGGATTCTAGAGTCATGCCTCCTCTCTGCTATTAAATCTTTGCCCTGTTCTTCTCAGGAGACCACCCCCCCCACCCCACCCCAAGATGCCAGCCACTTCCCCTGCTCTAAAGATGCAAAACATTTCCCGGGTCCCACATCTTCCGAGAGAGCCGCAGGACCTGTACAGGACAGCACAGCCTGCGTGCTTTCTGTACTCGTTGACAGGCAACGTACTACTGAATGACAGGCTGGATACTAAAATGACAGCCCCGTCTTACTGTGCTGTCTGCAGCATCCTCGGTGACAATGTCATCAGCTTTTGCGATCTGCAAACTTGTCAGCAATATTTTAGCCTCCTTCTGGACCGCTGAGATAAAACACAAAGGGACAGAAATCGTGACGACAGAAGGAGGAGGAGGAGGAGATTATTGGATTTATACCTTCACTACCCAAAGGTGATTCAGAGCGGCTTACAAACTCCTTTCCCCTCCCCACAACAGACAGCCTGTGAGGTGGGTGGGGCTGAGAGAACTCTTGACAGAAACGGCTCTTTTTCAAGAACAGCTGTGCCAGAGCTACGGCTTGCCCAAGGTCATCCAGCCAGGTGCGAGGCGAGGAGTGGGGAATCAAACCCGGTTCTCCCAGATTAGAGTCCGCGCACTTAACCACGACACCAAACTGGCTCTCTGCAGGAGGCCAAGAGAAAACCTTCCTTTTCAGCATGGTGTGTACGTGACTGTTTTTATCCTCCCACTGCCCACCTGCCATCGAGAAGAAGCCAACCCTGTAAACACACACATAGTTATTTATAAGCCACATGATCAAGCAGGTGCTTGTTAACCTGTTCGACAGGTGTAAAAACCGAATCAGAATGCCACGAGAGGCTATTTCCAGTGTTCTGCAGGAGGAAATTGTTGGAACTCCGTGTGCAGTTACACATAGGGAACGCCATACTGAAATCTGTGAGGTTTATCATGAACCCCTATGCCTGGGACTGCATCGGCACAACAATAGTTTTTATTAAACATCCAGTGTCGTGTTGCCCCACGAAATGAATACTTCTGCAAAATCATGGAGACTGTCACTATTTCAGACCGTTAGATCCTTGATCGTACCGCCAGCATCTGAACCCGAGACAGCTGCAAAACTGGCAGGCTTTTCTATTAGAAAAGATCATCTTCCTTACCCTTTAAAAATATTTCTGTGCCCAGCCATGACCTGGATAGCCCAGGCAAGCCCGATTTCGTCAGCTCTCGGAAGCTAAGCAGGGCCGACCCTGGCAAGTACTTGGACGGGAGACCTCCTTGAAATACCAGAGTCAGAGGCAGGCGATCAAGCCCCTTCTCTGAATGTCCTCCATCCCCCAGCAGGAGTCGCCAGAGGTCGCCATGACTTCCAGGCACCGGCACACAAACAAAAATGCAAAAATACAAAAAAAAAATCTATGGCCAAATGGGGATGAAGAGGAAGAGAAGAGATCGGATTATACCCCGCTCTGCAAGCGAGTTTGGAGAGCCAGTTTGGTGTAGTGGTTAAGTGTGCGGATTCTAATCTGGGAGATTAGATCACAGAACCAAGAGCCTCTTTGCCAAAGAAGCCGATCATCAACTCAGTTCTGTGATGTTCTGTATTTCTATTATGCTTTATTTTATCAGACACCTTGGGCAAGTTGCCTGGGGAGGCAGCACAGGAATTCTCCAGGTAAATAAATTCAGACCCCCCCACCCACATTGACAGGTTTTCCGAATCATCTTCTAACGACAGCTAGCTGTTGGTGTGTAGCACAGCGGCTTCCCTGCCGGAGTTATGAATATCTGTACACACCCAGTAACAGACTGAGGTTTCACCGCAAATAAGGATACCGTTCTCAAAATGATCACTCCCTCTTATCGCGTTACGAGTTTACTTACTTCACTCTTCCAGAACGTGTGTTTTTTTAGTTGTCATGTTATGCTGCTATGCATCTTCTGTATCCCATGGTTACTGCACCTGTCTACACTGTGCATAAAATAATGAAATCAACAGTAATTAATTACTAGCAGCGACCTCCAGCAATCTGTGGGGTTTTGGAAGGGGCACAGGAGGAGGAAGAGGATGGGGAACCCTCCCCCTCTCTCCCCCTGACCATCCATCTTTCCCTCTTTCTCCCTCACTCTCACTTTCCACTCCCCCCTTGCCCCCTCCGAACCAGGGAATAAGGGGAAGAACCTTCCAGAGAGTTAGCAAGGTGGGCTGCCAGCTCCGGGTTGGGAAATTCCTGGAGAGGGGGGGATGTGGGGAGGGAACTCTGTGAGATATAATACCATACAGTCCACCTTCTGAAGCGGCCATTTTCTCCAGGGGAACTGATCTCTGTCATTTGAAGGTCACTTGTCACTCCAGGCCTCACCTGGAGTTTGGGAAATTCCTGTGGATTTCGGGGCGAAGCCTGTGGAAAGGTTGTGCCCATCCGGACCCTTAAGTGGTTTCTTAAGGGGCTTCTATATCTCTAAGGTAAAGGTAAAGGTTCCCTTGCTCACAAGCCAGTCGAGTCCGACTCTAGGGTTGCGGTGCTCATCTCCGTTTCACAGCCGAAGAGCCAGCGCTGTCCGAAGATGTTTCCATGGTCATGTGGCTGGCATGACTAAACACCAAGGCGCACGGAACGCTGTTCCCTTCCCACCGAAGCGGTACCTATTTATCTACTTGCCATTTCTTGCTTTCGAACTGCTAGGTTGGCAGGAGCTGGAACTAGAGACGGGAGCTCACTCCGTCATGCGGCACACTCGGGTCTCGAACTGCTGAACTACCGACCTTCTACAGCCTGCAGTTCAGCGTCTTAACCACTTGAGCCACTGTAGCTCCTCTGTATCTCTACCCACCTGTTAAGCAGCCTACCCACACGCGGGACTTGCTCACGGCGCTGAGAAAACGTACGTGTAAACCAATGTTCCCTCTAAGCTGTGGAATCTTGTGAGCAAAAATTCTACTTTGTGAGCTACTGGCATTAAAGTTGTGAGCAGGTGATTTGGTTCTGCATAAATCAGTTTGCTCTGGAGCCCTCCTTCCTGAGCTAAGACAAAAATGCGTGAGCCAGAGGCTAAAAAACTATGAGCTAGCTCACACTAACTCAGCTTAGAGGGAACACTGGTGTAAACCCTTCGAACCCATGGCAACTTGCGACTTGAAACTATTGGCCTGGAAAAACGCTCCATTGGGGGGGGGGTGAGAGGAAGAAGAGTTGGATTTATGCCCCGTTCTTCACTCAGAGTGGCTTACAATCTCCTTCCCGTCCTTTCCCCACAACAGACACCCTGTGAGGCAGGCGGGGCTGAGCAATGACCCGGGGCCTGGAGAGAAAGCCCTGTGAGGAAAGCCTGAGGGATTTGGGAATGTTCAGTCTGGAGAAGAGGAGGTTGGGCGGTGGGGGGGACATGATGGCTCTCTCGAAGTATCTGAAGGGCTGTCACTGAGAGGAGGGGCAGGGAGCTGTTCCTGTGGGCAGCAAAGGGGAGGACTTGCAAGAACAGGTTTAAATTATGTGTGGAAAGGTACCAGCTGGATCTGAGGAAAGACTTTTTTACAGGAAGAGTTGCCATTTAAACCCTGCCTTTATGTAGGGAGTGGACTGGTCGCCTAGTTTCAATTGTAAAGCGTTGGCTCTTTCTTACTCAAAGATGTACACACAAGCGCAAAACGTCCGCGTGTTCACTGTAACTCACGAATGAAGAAAGCCCTGACTCAGAAAAATTTCTGCTGGAGTCAATTCAGTTAACCTCTCCAGTGCCTCTGGACGGACACCACTTCCACTCTGCAACTAGAGAGAAACGTAGGCCCAATCTGCATCTAGCATTTCACCAACCCCCTGGGGCCACGGTGGCTCAGTGGTTAAGACGCTTAGCTGCAGACCGGAAGGTCAGTAGCTCGGCAGTTCGAGACTTGAGTGTGCCCCGTGACGGAGTGAGCTCCCGTCTTTAGTCCCAGCTCCTCCCAACCTAGCAGTTCGAAAGCAAGAAATTGCAAGTAGATAAATAGGTACTGCTTCGGTGGGAAGGTAAGAGTGTTCCATGTGCCTCGGCATTTAGTCATGCCGGCCACATGACCACGGAAACGTCTTCGGACAGCGCTGGCTCTTCGGCTTGGAAACAGAGATATACCCTATGGCTCTGGTAAAATAGATCACTTAGATCCGTCTGGCTAGTCTGGTAATCCTTGTCATATTTGTAATCCTCATGTACTTTTTTTCAATCGTCGGTTCATTGATGCAATCATTGTTGAACATAAATTAAGTTTTAAATGGTAATACTGTCCCTGAATACCTGATTTACTGTTGTATTCTCAATTGTCGTTTTGATAATGACCTTCTTGTTATACATTCTCTTTGAAAGTTTAATAAAAAGATTTATACAGGAAATAGAGATGAGCACCGTCCCCTGGAGTTGGCTTCGACTGGCTTTCAAGCAAGGGAAACCTTTACCTTTACCAAACCCACGCTGGAACAGCAATTCCCCTCTACTTGGCATGCCACTGTCACTTTGATCGATTGTCAGATTTTATGGCAGTGTCCAGACTGCATGCTGCTTTCACTTCCTTTGATGGGGTTTTTAATGGTACTTTCTGCATAGATTTATGGCCCTTTTACGGCCATTCAGGGGTGACTCTGCAGTCAATTTTGGAATGTGGTTTTGAGCTGCATCTTTCTCTGTTCCAGGGTGGGTTTGGTAAAACAGCAGAACAAATGCTAGATGCAAACTGGGCCCCTAGCAAACCCACCAGGGAAGGACGGGCAGCGCCGTTTTCTGGCGGCCCCCTTCTGGGAATGGCACTCTGCCCCCCCCCCCTCTTTCCAGGACCTCCGTTTGTCTAAACCCGCACGCTGGGAGCGAAGATGGACTCCACGCGGCTCGAAACACGCGCGCACGTTCCCACGCCCACGCACAGACGCGCATGTCGAGCCAAGAAGCGCGCTCGGAGCAGCAGCGGCGGGCGGTCCCTCCTGGCCTGTCTAGTCGCCAAGGGCGGCCCGTGCCGGGCAAGGGAAGAACCCGGCCGCCGCCCTCCTCCGGCTGGCTTTGCAGCCAAGGCGCCCGGGAGAGCCGAGCGAGGATTTCTTCCCTCCGCGGCGCGCAGGCGGGCCGGCCCGTCCTCCTACCTCTTTCCTCCCCCTTCGGCTCCGCCCCGACGCCGACGCCGCCGCAGGCCCAGCCGCCGCTTCCCGGCTTCGGCGGGGGGGCAAAAAACGGGCCGGCCGGGGGGGCCCCCTCCC